AAAATGTGTTTCGCTCAAGCTCAATCATAAAAGAGTTTAAAAATACTAAGCTTTTGAATAATGGAGTTTCGTTTTTGTTCAATTTGAAAAAATATGTTTTTAATTTCTTGAAACAAACGCCATCATGAAGGATTAGATTTCCTGTTTTACCATAGTAAACTTTTAATAGTGACATATTTTTGTTAAATGTATAATAATCTTGAAAGGTAAAAGTTTACAAATAAATATTGTTAGTTTTTTTATTTAGACTTAAACATCAAAATTTAATGTTTGAGCGAATAAAGTGATAAAATTATTTTTAATTTGTGTCACGACCCAAATTCCATTAAAGGTCGTGATGGCGTCGGACATCACTGTCAGGCAAGCCAACATTACATAATCAATTGAGTTCTCGCTTTAGTATTTTTGAAATCATGATTTTTCTTCAATTTAATAGTAAAAGATGTACTTTACAGAATAAATAATAATATTTTAACAATTTCAATACTGAATAACCCATAATCATCCCAAAACCCAGCGTCACAAGTGCATGAGTGTTAGAGCTGTCAATATGGGCCGGGCGGGGCTAGCCCAGCCCAGCCCACCCCACGTGGGCTTTAGCAATTGACGGGCTGGGCTGGGCTAGCCCACCAATTTGATGTGCCTTATAATGGTCAGCCCACCCCAGCCCTATGTGGGTCGCGGGCCCCCGCGTGCCGGCCCATCATTTTTAAAAATATAATTATATATTTTTTCTTTAAGTTCTAACCTAAAAAAAGATAATTATTTAAAAGTTAAAAAATATCTTGTTGGAAAAAATTCGCAAAACTTAATAACTTTTATATTGTTCCAATATATCACAATAAATACTAAAATAAGTAAAAGACAAGACTATATTTCATTCACTGAAAGTCAAAACTTAAAACAAACTATTCAAGCGAACGTTCATGATGCTTATGACATATCCAACACATCATCTTCATCAAACACATTTGAATCCGCTTGTGACAAGGTTGTCTTAACATCTTCACTTTCATCTACAATTCATATGCAATATTAATTAATTAAATATTAAAAATAATTAATTTTTAGAAATTAATAATATTTAAATTCACATAAAAAATATTACCAGTTTGAGTTTGGAAAACTTGTGCAGCCAATTTCGAGTAGTAACACGTGTTTGGACATTTTCATAATAAATGCAACTTCTGTACTTTATAAGAACACGCCACCAGTGCTAAATGTTGATTCCGATGCTACAATGGTAATAAGAATACTAAGTACATCATGCACCATCATTGAAAGATCGGGATATTTTCTAGAATGGTTCCTTCCAATACATACAACATCCATCTCTTGAAACTTCTCAAGATCGCGTTTTGGTTCCTCTTAGTAAAGATCCAATTCTGACTTTCCATCTCTAAAGGCAGTATAATTTTTACTTTTTATATATTTTAAATAAATATTTTATTAAGCCCACGGGCCGGCCCGGCCCAGTCTCAGTCAAGCCTCACGGGCCACGGGCTTACACGGGCCTGACTTAAAAGCCCCATTTTTAAATGGGCTCCTAATATTCTAGCCCAGCCCTGCTAAATCACGGGCTGGGCTGGGCTGGCCCAACGGGCCAAGCCCATATTAACGGCTCTAATGAGCGTTTACTAAGAAATAAAATAAAATACAATAACTGTCCGGAATACAATTTGGACAGAAAGGAAAATACCAATACTCTGAAGTGACTCTGCTGGCTGCGGGTCGTCTCGAGAGATGCAGCTCACCTAAGTCTTCGTATCAACCAAGCCGTTGCGCCCACTAGGCCACTAGGTATACATGTACATGTGCATGTGCAACAAAAGTGCACAGCAAGTGTAGTATGAGTACGAAAATAATGCGTACCCAATAAGTATCCAGTCTAACCTCGAAGAAGTAGTGACAAGAGGTCGATTTCGACATATACTAGTGGTCCAATAATATCAGGTACAGTAAGGAAGTGAATAGATATGAAATAGAGTAAATACATGAAATAAACATGTATAAAATACGTGGTACAATTTTCCTCTTTACAATTTTTACTCAAGCTCTCAACTAGCAAGTTCCTTCTGTAACCGGAGCATATATATACAGATATAGTGGATATCATCAAGAGGTTGTCATAATTCAACTCAGGGAAAAACCCTCAGATACGGCCCAATCCAACATAAAAGTAAACTATGCACTGCCGAGGGTCGAATGGCGCGAACCATAGATGCACTATTAACATGCTGAGGCGATCGGCCTGCTCCCATGAGAGTAGTAGAAGGAAATACCCCGCTCGCGAATCATACATGCGACGCGGTCAAATATAAATTTAAGTAGTTACCCCGCTCGCGAATCATACATGCGACGCGGTTGAATATAGGTTTAAAGAATTACCCCACTCGCGGATCATACGTGCGACACGGTTACACATAGATTTCTTAAGTTATTAAGGTATTCCTCGATTCTCTTTAAATTATGAATTTCAAATGAAAACCTTTTAAGTTCCCAACCTTTCCACAATTTCAACTCCTTTCAAAACATTTAATAAGTTAACTCAATCTCGCTTGTTCTCAAGACAAGCAATAAACATAATTTAACAACAATATCAACAAGGCATGATGTAAGCCTAAAACTATCCGGACACAGGCATAGCTAGAAGCTACGTACGGACTCTCGTCACCTTGTGCGCACGTAGCCCCCGCAAATAGAAGCACATAATAATTTAGTTCATCTATGGGGTTAGTTCCCCCTTACAATGTTAGAAAGGAGACTTACCTCGCTTCGAAGTTCCATAACCGGCTCCCAAGCCCTTCCGACGACTCAAACCGACGCCCAACGCTCCAAAACTAGTCAATAATGATGCAAACTCATTAATATATACTCAAATACTCATTAAAATCCTATTTACAACAATTCCCAACTTCGCTTGAAAAATCGATAAAATCACCCTCGGGCCCACGTGCCCGGATACCGAAAATTATCGAAAATAATCTTTGCCCATGACATCACGACTCAAATATATAATTTATTGTCAATTCCTTGTCCATAATTCGTGGTCAAATTCCAAATATACAAGATTCTAGGTTTTTCCACCAAAATCCCAATTTCTACTAGTTTCTATGGTCAAATCTACATAAACACATGTATTTAACTCAAAAACGTGAAGAAAGCACTTACCCCGTTATGATTGATGAAGATGGCACTCCAATATGCTCTAAAATCGGCTCCCATGGGCGAAAATGAAATGAAATAGAGTCAAACCCTCGTTTTCAAAGAAGACACTACCAGCCCCGACTTTCGCACATGCGGTCACTTGACCGCTTTTGCAGTTTCGCAGTGCGGCCCAACTACCGCTTATGCGTCTATCCCCCCAGCTGCCCACTTCCGATTCTGCGCCTTCCTTTTCGCACGTGCGCTCTCGCTTCTGCGGCGAGATGACCACATCTGCGGTCTCAGCACTTCCCCACCAAATCGCATCTGCGCCCCTTTGGCCGCTTTTTGCGGCTCCGCACTTGCGGAACTCGCAGGTGCGGTTACACCAGATGACAACAGGCTTAGAAATCTTCATAAGGCCGAATTCAATCCGTTAATCACCCGGAATCCACCCGATGCCCCCGGGACCCCGTCCAGTCACACTGACCAGTTCCAAAACATAATGCGGACCTGCTCGAGGCTCCAAATCACATCAAACAACGCTAAAACCATGAATCGCACTCCAATTCAAGCTTAATGAACTGTAGAACTTCAAACTTCTACATTCGATGCCAAAACATATCAAATCACGTCCGATTGACCTCAAATTTTGCACACAAGCCACATTTGACATTATGGACCTACTCCAACTTCCGGAATCCGAATCCGAACCTGATATCAAAAAGTCCACTTCCGGTCAAACTTCTCAAAAACCTTCAAATTTCTAACTTTTGCCAAACGACTCCAAATTATATGCGGACCTCCAAATCCACTTCCGGTCGCGCTCCCAATACCGGAATCACCATACGGAGCTATTCTTAGACTCGGAATTCCAAATGGACATCGATAACATTGAAATGCACTTCAACCCAAATTTATGAAATTCTTCCAAAATGCTAACTTCCACAATATGCGCCGATGCTCCCGGGTCATCCAAAATCTGATCCGAACATACGCCCAAGTTCGAAATTATCATACGAACCTACTGGAACCACCAAATCGCGATTCCGAGGCCGTTTACTCTAAAACCCAATCTTAGTCAATTCTTCCAACTCAAAGCTTTCGAAATGAGAATTTTCTTTCCAGTTCCACTCCGAACTTCCCAAAATTCAATCCCGACCACGCGTACAAGTCATAATACCTGAAGTGAAGCTGTTTGTAGCCTCAAACTGTCGAAACGATGCGTTAGAGCTCAAAACGACCGGTTGGGTCGTTACAATTTGAATCACCCAAATATATCTCAAACATAACGTACATAAAGGAAAAAAAAGTGGAAAGAAAATAGGTAGGAGGAGCTACTGTTAGAGTGTTCAACTAAACCAGATGTTTGTCACAAAACATATTCAAATAATATTGAAAGAAATTTGATCAATAAAATATAAGTGAGAAAATATGTTAAATTTTGGAGAAAAAAAATCTACATTTATCTTTATTCTAATAAACGGAGATTTATGACAAGGAAGTTAAAGTCAAGTAAAAAGTTAATAAAAACACATATGGTTTCCCACTTGACTAACGTCCTTACCATTACTCTACATTTATTCAAGGAAAAAATAATTAGTCGACAAATATATTAATTCAAATAACAAGCTAATAAAAAATCATATTAGTAACGTAATAATACTAACTAACAGATAATATAATAAAAAATAAGAACAAAAAAGTTATTCGATGGCCATGTTCGCTTCAATTAACATCATGGAAATTTCTTATTAGGTACATTATATTAAAAAACTAGGTGACAATTGAAATTTTATTACACTAATATGATCTAATATAATTAAACGAGCCAAATCACAATATTATTACTGCGGTTTGATACGGATTAAGATGAAACATTTGTTTACTGTACGATAAGTATTTGTAAAATCTATGTGAAGAACGATACAATCCCTAAATTCCTTCCGACGACGAAAAAACATTTGCGAAAGTGACGACTGATTAAAATCATCTTTAAATCCATCACTCATCAGCGTCATCGTCCCGCTGCCCTCCGCCCCGAACCAATCGCCCTTACCTCAATGCCATCCCCGGTTGCGGCGGTTGATCCTAAAGCCGATGTGGAATTGGATGAGGACGACGAAGAATACGAGGAAATTGAGGTCGAAGAAGAAATAGAAGTAGAAGAGGAAGAGGAAGAGGAAGAGGAAGAAGAAGAAATAGAGGTAGAAGAGGAGGAAGAAGAAATAGAGGTAGAAGAAGAAATAGAAGTAGAAGAAGAGGAAGAAGAAGAAATAGAAGTAGAAGAAGAGGTAGAAGAGGAGGAAGAAGAAGGAAAAGGTGAAGAAGATAAAAGTGAAGAAAAAGATCAAGCATCAGTTCCACTCAATGTGGATGATCAGAAAGGTTAGTTCTTTGTGTTATCAACTCCAGTATGCTGATATTTTACTTGTTTAGTCATTATTTTTTTTAAAGTTGCCTGTATGTTTCGTTGCTTACAGCTTGTTTGGATGGTTGTTACGTATTGTATTGTATCGTATTGTTACTTTAAATACGATATTTGTTTTGATTGTTACTTAAATCTACTATTACGTAATGACGAAATGTGCACTTTATGTAACCACCGATTTGGTGTGGTCGCGTCGTTACCTTGTCTTTTTCTTTCAATCTCACCCTTCATTATTATTAAATAATTTTATTTTATCATTTATCCTACCTTTTTATATAGTAATTTAACCTCATATTATAATTTTTCTTTATAATATTCCAAGTTTATTCTTCATATTGATGGTGCATGATATCATGAAACGATGGTAAACGACACAAACTATCCAAACATTGTATTCATCAAACGATACAGTACAATACAATACGATACATTATGAAACGATATGTAACAACCATCCAAACAAGTTGTTAGTGAGAAGAAGTGGAACGTTCCTTTCCTTAGGGAAAAAATTATAAAAAGAATCTTTATGTTATCAATGTATATAACTTAAATCCTTGTGATTTAAGTTTTATGTACGATACAAAAAGTATTTACACTATCAGTTCAGTTATTAGGTAATTCTTTGGATAAACATTAATTGGTAATTTTGTGAGAAGAAGTGGAACATTCCTACCTAAGGATGTGGCCTATTGGTTAATGAAGTTAAAGGAGAACCATGAACTCTCAGGTTCAAATCCTTTTGTGGAAAGAGTTACCCGGTACCTGTGTCGGTCGGTAAATATGCCGGTGGGAAGTAGCAAATTGGTCTAGACAACATTGTGATAAAAAAGAAGAAAAAAGAAGCGGAACATTGCTTTCCTTAGAGAAAAAAGGCCGACTCTGCTACTATAACTCTGACTTTAAGTTTTATGCACTAATAATTGAAAAAAGTATTTACACAATTTGGTCACTTATTAGGTAATTACAGTGAATATCTTGATAATCATTAATTGGTAATTTAGTAAGAATGCTAACTGACTCACTACCACGAGTTAAATTCACTGATAAAATAAAAAAAATCTTTACACTGTCAGAAGAAGAAGACGAGGAAGAAGAAATAGAGGTAGAAGAAGAAGAAGACGAGGAAGAAGAAATAGAGGCCGAAGAAGAAGAAATAGAGGTAGAAGAAGAAGAAGAGGTAGAAGAGGAGGAGGAGGAGGAGGAGGAGGAGGAGGAGGAAGAAGAAGAAAAAGGTGAAGGATCAATTCCACTAAATGTAGATCATAAAAAAGGTTAGTCTTTGTGTTATCAACTACATTATGCTGATATTTATGTTGTCTAATCATTATCGTGTGAATTTCTAATTGTTTGTTTGTATCGTTCTTTTGCTTGCCTTCTATCTCGTTGAGTATCTGGATTTCGTTAGTGATAACATGTAGAAGTTGGGGAATTGTCTAATTTATTGGCGCTTATGCCGAGTATATGAGTAATAGGAGAAGCAATGCATTAAGGCTTGTACTGGATCTTGTTAGAAGACTGGTGGTGGGATATCCTTTTCGTAATGGATGCTTTAGACATAAAATGAGATCGTATTAATAGTTTTTAAAGATACTTAGTTTTTTAATGTTAATTCTTGTCGTATTCTGGCACTGGCTTTTTATTGTTCATTCTTATCGTATTCTGACACTGGCTTTTATCTGCTAAAATTGATGTTAGTTATAAGAAAAACGTTACATCTCTTACTGCCTATCTTTAACCTAAAATTATTTTGAATGAAGTTCATCGACAACGTACTTATAAAATGACATTTCAACATTACTTGAGCTAACCATGCTTAGTTGGGCTAAAACTTGATAAGTTTGTCACTCTAGATGCTATGCAAGAGGAGGGAAAAAGAAGAGCCTTCATGTGGCCATGCAAGTGGTTTGAGTCACTTCTTTCATAATGAAACATCACACTTTTGATGTTACAAAGGACAAGTGTTTTTGCTGATCACTGCAACCTTGGCAATCATGTGATGTATTTGGTTAGAATGTCTTGCCCTTTGCTTGGATAGTTGGGATGGGAAGGAAAAGAAGGGAAAGTAGAAATTGGAGCAATAGAAGAGAAAAATTTCTTTTTCATTCCATTGTTTGGTTTATGAAGAAAATATAAGAGAGTTGAAAGGAAACTCCTACTTATCAAAAAAGGAAAAAAGAAAAAGAAAGAAAGAAATGAAGAGAGTTGAAAGGAGATTTCTTCCTGAGTTAGAGTTGCAGGGAAAGAAAAGTTTGACATTTAATTTTTGGCCAGAACTTATCTTGCTATCTTGAAGCATGAAGGGGAGGATACCATCCAAAACCGTAAGCAGCTTGTTTGCCATGAAGGAAGCTGGCATGAAGATTGCTACTGTGAGGCTGCTAACTAGCTAGTTCTCTGTTACGTTTGCTGTTGCAGCTGACCGGAGAAGATCAAAGGCTACTACTAGCACAATTTGCTACTATGTGAAAGACTTGAGATTCGAGATGCTTTTTGCAAGTTAAAGTGAGATCTTCTGAGTTATTGAGTTGTGATAGTGGTATCTGCGTTGATACAGTGGTATCAATACAATGATCAGGTTCCTGTAGTGATAGCTAGTGAATGGCAGTTTAAGTGCATGGTCGCTCAAGTAGCTCCTCTGCTCGACTGAGGTTCTCCCTTTCCATGCCTCCAATGCTGCTTGGCATCATTGTTGTCTTCTTGATTACAGACACTTAAATAAATGGTCTTCTTTGTACAGCTATTCTAATTGGCAGTTGTGTGCTAGTTCTCGTATTTATGGTCGAAGGTGGAAGATGTGCAGTGGCATAATAGTCAAAAAGTTGGAGTAACAACTAGGGACATCAAAATTCTGATCCCAGAAAGATGGCCGTTTGTGAATTCTTTCCATTTGTCTATGCCTCGATGGATAGAGTAACTCGATATTTGTGCTAGTGAGAGATAACACTAATTGAATTGGTCAAGACTGCAAAAGTTGGCCCGAACAATACGAAGAAAGTGAAAAATGAGCAGAAGGATATGGTTAAATAGCCTTCCAAGTTCATTTTGACATTGGAAGATTGGTCCCATGTGCGTGTTGATTTGATTTACACACGACGATGATTCTAATTTAATTACTTTTTCAGTTTTTATGCTAAACGTGGTTTTTTTTCAAATATCAGAGGATTTTAATCCAATTTGAATTAGACTACGCTAGCTAAGAACACATTGGTTTCATATGGTATCTTTGAAATTGTAGTGGCTTTAATTGGATGTGCACCTTCGCTGGATACTCCAACAACACTTCAATCTATGCCAAATATTGTTAATGTGTTGTAGAGGTTGACTGGCTTAGTGAATTGCCTCAAATAAAATGGTTTTGGTAGAATGTCAAGTACTAACCAATCCCACAATTTCGTACTCTTTGATTTGTGTATAATACTTTTCTTGTTTCCTTTAGTCTAGACTCACCTTATCTTTAGTAGCCTAAATTTCTATACAAGGTTTCTTCTATGTTGTTCCTGTTGAAAAAAAAAAAAATCCTGTTCAGAAAAAGGTTTCTTGTATGTTGTCTACAACCAATTCAAGGTAAGATTTCATTTTTTCCTCCCCTCTATTTTCACAACACTTCTATTGGATTTCTAGAATCACGAACTTGAGACAGAGTATGATTTGTGAAGCCAAAATTGGCTTCTTGTTGGACTGAGAGTTGTTGAACAGAAATGGGAAAGGTGATTTGTTTCCCTTTGTTCAACTTGGCCTCTATGTAACTCAAGATACGTCTTACCTCATAATGTCAAATTGTCTACCTCTTAACATCTCAATATGCAATAAATATTACTAGCTCTTAACATCTCAAATATGCAAGAAATATGTGAAACACAATGCCATTTAGATCTTTTCTGAGTTGATGAACAATCCAAGGTTTAAAAATAATGTAGGTCCATATGTTTGGAGCGGACTCATTATCTACTGAATTTCGAACAATGCACCACGTGCCCTTGAGGATTTCTTTGTTATCAAAATAGAAAAAATGGTACCTATGTTACGATTTTAAAGCTCATGGATGGACTTAGAACAGATGTCTCTTGTCTATAATATAAACCAAGACTCCAACCTCAACGGTCATGAAATTGAGACGTAATTGTGAATAGTGATATCAATTAGTTGTGTGAATAATTGGTCATGTAGAGCAGTGGCGGAGATAGGATATCCACAAAGGGAGTTCAAAAAAAAAAATTACAGCTAGTGGGAATCGAACTTATGACCTTAGGAAGGTTTTGAACCCCCTTGACCACTTAGCTAGACTTTTCGGTTGTGTTAAGGGGGTTCAAAACTTAATATATAGAGGTAAAAAACAGATTTTGCCTTATATATGCAGTGTAATTTTTCGGCGAAGGGGGTTCGGGCGAACCCCCTTCCGCCACCCTAAATTCGCCCCTGATGTAGAGATATTTTAATCAGAGGCAATTGAAGCATAAGAAGATGTATCTTACCAGTTTTGTCGAGGAATAGGTAACGGTAGATTTTCTTTTGCGAAAGCTCAGTTTTATTCAACTAAAACATCAAGAACTTGCTTCCTTTACAAACAACAGTAGTTATGCCTCAGTTCCGAACTTGTTAGACTATGTTCTAACATTTAATAATTTATCTTAAAAAGACAAATTAGGGTTTCCGTAAACTAGAGATCCTCTAAATCTCACTCATCCTTACACTTACATAGAAATCTTTTATAAGCTTCACAAAATTACAAAAAAAGCATATGTTTGGTTGTGAAGGAAGCTAATGAAGACTATCATGTTATGAGTTAGTGAAGACACTATACATGAATGGTTTTCCATATAATATGACTTCCTATTTCTCCTCATTCGTTTCAACCTTCAATAGTTATGGAATATGGTTTTGAGCAATAATCACTTGACACCATAAATATAAAAGTGAAGACGAGCATTTTAAGTAGAGCGCTGCTTTTCTCTCCAAATAACTCTTATGATACATATATGAATGGAATTCCATGTCTCTGACTTCCTATTTCATACTCATTCCTTTTCAACTACAAATGTTTTGTAATAAGTGGTTGACATTCTCCAATCCTTTCACACAAAGCAGCTATAGCACGATATTAGACATCTTCTCGTAAGATTACTTTAAAGCATGCTTCTTTTAGCAATCCAGCCAAAATAGGAAATCTCAAGGTGCCTTTATTTTCGAAACCATTTTCTGGGGCTACTTAGTATTATCGGTGTAGACAACTTTTTAGTCTCTTTTCTTATGATATTCAGCCCCTGCTGTCATGAGACCATCTTAAGTAGTATTTCTCTTCTAATATCCATGTTAATTCTTCCAGTCCGGTCATCAGTTGTAAAAGACTTTAACTCCTGGTCTTAGCAATTCTTTCTAAGAATTATACTTTTATTTTTGTCTGACCTATAATATTCCCACAACACTCAATAAAATACCTGTGACAATTAATTTTTTTTTCCTGACCTATATTGAGCTGTAGTAGCTTCCGATTAGGTAGCCAATTTGATATAGTTGGATTATTGTCTTCCAAAGAACTTTGACCCAGTAAAAACTTCCTTCTAGAATCTTTTTGTGCATCTCCAACCATTAGGTCGACATACTTAAAAATCTGTCACAAGCTTATTATACATCTCCATAGTGACACCGGTGAGGCTCCGAATCTCTTTTTGTGCACCAACAATCTACTTGCATTTTGTTGCGAGTATTTCATCCACCAGCAATCTTGTGCTCTATACATGCAGTAATTTCCCTTGTCCAAAGTATATCCTCTAGGATATACCTTCTAGACTTCTTTAATCAATCAAGGAGCGATCTCAACTTTCCACTCTCCACAATGAGATGAATCGTATGCGCATAACTTCATTATGTTTCACTTTAAAGTCCTCTATTCCACTGAGAACTTTGGCGTTTGCCATGGAGCTTTTAGCACTGCTCCTAAGTACGACGAAGCTTCTTGCAGCAGGCACATCAAAGGTTATTCATATAGAGGACGGAGATTGCATTCTCCCAAATTTTCAATTTGGAGTATTCAAGGCTAATGTTTTTTCAGTTTCAAACTTTTACTCTAACTAGTATGAGCAAAACATAACTCTATTATGACTTTGTTTAGCTTTGATGATTAAGATGACATTCAATGAAGGCAAATATCTCTTTTCCATATATCATCTTGTAAAACAAATAGAAGTATATATCTCTATTTGCAGATGACATCTTATGTTTCGTGATGTGGAGGCATTTCAATTAACATATCCCAAGTCTCATTCTACTTGGGATTCTTTATTTGGAGATCGAGAGCGGGGTCCGGAATAACATGATGTCTTTGTCCGGAGCTTCCGACCTGAGGATCAACTTTTTTTATTTTTCTGAATCAAGGCAAGAAAGAAGCATATATACAAGTATACCGATAACGTAGAAAGCCTGACACAAAGAAATGGTTTTCTACTAAAGGCACCAAATCTTTTATACATATAAGAACCTTGTGGGTGCTCCAAAAAGAGATAAGGGATAAAAAGCTATTTCTCAAAGTGTACAAAATCCTTCTATACTCCATCAAAATCTCTCCTATTTCTCTCTCTATATATGGTCCATGTTAGTGCTAGAGGAGTAATATTCCATGCCTTGCTTCTTCTCCTCCGTTTTCTAAAAATTCAAATAAACATTATTTCTTTCACAGTGCTCGGCTTCACATGCTCAATTCTGAAACATCTCAGAATTTTCCACCGCAAGCAAGGCACTATCCGGCAATGTAGAGGAGGTGGTTCACATCTTCTCCTTAGTTACGCATGAAACACCAATTGATACAAGTAATCTTCCTCTTTCTTAAATTCTTTGCTGCCAAGATCACTCTATTTCAGCTAAACAAGTGAAGAAACACACCTTTCACAGTATCCTGTGGATCCATATTGAGAGATGTGGAAAAGCTTCTCATAATCGACTTAAAGTACATGGTCATCTTGATGGTGGAGGTGAACAAATTCAGTAGCATAAATGTTTAATGGCAGAAACTTGAGATGCTTTTGACGACTTATCTAGAATTAATGCTTGGAGCATCACAAGTGGAATTCTTTGTCTAGCATCCGGTGATTGGAAAAGTTGACAAGAAGCTATTAAGGTGACAAAATAGTTGCTTATAAAAATGAGGCAATGAGGTATTGATTTAGAGCACTCTATCAAGCACTTACATATTTCATGTCTCATGCACGCGAACTAGTGGTATCAAAAAGTTGAAGAGGCCACAAAAGGAACTCTTCTGAGATACAAAAGATGGACATAGAAAGTTACATGGAATGAATTAGGAGGTGGTATTACATCTCCAAAAAGGTATGGTGGACTCGAGTGAAAGATCCGTGAAAAAGTGGTTTTGGTGGTTTGACTATTGGATGTAGGCTTCGTGGAGAGTAGTGATAGCAGACGACACATTGGAATAGAGGTGGACTAGAAATTTTTTATTACCCTATGAATGTGGACTATAGGGATATATCATGAAGGGATAATAAGTTTAGCGACGATATCTCTTTCAAAGTTGGGAATGAACATAGGATTACATTTTGGGAGAATATGTTGTGTATTGATGTTTTGTGAATTACCTTTGCGACTATTGAAAACATTTTGGGCAAAAGGATATCACGACTCGTTAAGTTTAGAGGACACATGGTGGCAAACTCATTAAGAATTGAAGTTCCAAAAAGATCTACAAGAGTGGGAGAGAGATAAATTCCAAAACTTGATGTAAGTTTTTAATTCACAAATCATCGCATAGTTGTAATAAGGCAATTGGAAATGGGATGGAAGGGGAATGGGATTGTTCTTGGTAAATTCCTAGTACCACAAGTTACCTAAAGGAGAGAACACATTGTGCCATTGCTGTCATTTTGGATTTCTACCGTGATTAGGGAGGTATGTTTGTTCTTGTGATTGGTAGTAAGGAGGGTATTCTAATCCACTGAAAAGTTCAGAAAAAAAAGGTTAACTTATGTTACTAGTGCTTTATACGCTAACGATTGACGTGAATCAGAGCCTTGCCTGTTGCGAGTGTTGTGGTACTGGTGGACTATACTGAACCTCTTTGGTACACCGTAATTAATGCCTACTATTGTTAAGGACGTAATGCACAACTTAACTTTCAGAAGAAAGAGAAGAAGATGCTAAATTAGGGATTCATCTCCTTTGACCCATGCGAGTACTTTGGAGATTGAAGATAAGAGAGCACTTACAAGGGTGGAAAATGAATTTGCTTTGTCAAAGTGCTTTAGATTTCGGTGATCGTTGTACACACGATGTCACCATCACTGTAGATGAATGAATATCACTCGTTGAGAACCTTTCTTTTTAAAAAAAAAATAACGTAGGTCCTTAACTCTTTCTACTTGTATACCTTGTTTCTTCACATGACATCTCTAAAATTATTAGTTTATAAAAAAAATTTACAATATAAGAAAGGACTCTAAAGCATGGACATAGACATGATCCTGCATGACTCAAAATTTGAGAGAAAAAACACAAATTCTAAAACATCAGGGAACACGACACCATTAGTACTATATAATTCATGTTTTTGTTTAATTTAATGTATAGCTCGAAATTGATATTTATAAAATAACAAATAATGAAAAACATATTTCATTCTAGCAATGTTATCAGATGGTATAAAACTCTGCCACTGAGAAAAGCCTGGTATTTAAGTGGAGAAGGGTAGAGAGATGAACCCATTGCTCATTGAGTTTCGAACCATGAGCTAGTGGCCCCCGTGAATTTCTTGGTTATCAAAACAAAGTCATCAGATGGTATATTTTCATAATTATTTGAGGGCTACCAAATAATCTAATATAGGGAAAAATTTGAATATTTTGTATGAATCCAGGATGGCTGGTGTATAATTTGAGGATACAAGTCTGAGGAAAAAACGGGATCTTCATCAAAAGTAAAAAAGGTACATGATGGTGTCTGACGTGTCCTCATGTGTGATGTATTTGGATTGTATGGTATATGTGGTGTCTTTTTATATTAAAGGTCAGTTTCAATTGTTTTTAACATGGTATTAATATCACTCGTCCGCAGAGTCTCTAATAGATTGACCATTCAAGTTTACGTGTGTATTAAACACAATCTTAATTTCAAGATGAAGGGTTGATCCAAGCCCAGGAAAAGGAGTGTAGAATCTTCTTGAAGCGCCTTCTATTGTGTTATGGGCTGATGTTCTTGTTTTGGGATGCACTACGTTTCCTGTGTTTAGTCGGTCTGTTAGGATTATACCACAGATTACACAACCTCCTTTTCTGTTTAGACTGACTTTCTAGGTAAATCATCATAAAGGTTCTGCCACAAAGAGCTTGCTTGTGTTTTATGGTGGAGACATTTACATTGGCAAGAGTTGTTATTGTTATATTTCTTTCTTGTAGATGGTAGCCATGTTTTGGAGCCTTCGGGGCTTGAACAGCACTTAAGATCAGGCTTTTCTACACAACAAGAACCTGTAGCAAATTTACCCCCACATACCCCTTTGATCGAAGGTGGTAATGACAGTTGCAGAATTTCTAATTCAGATGAAGCAAGAGAGAGGAAGGGCGGTGAGAACTCTTAGTATATCATACCCGAACGCTGGTTAATGTTGAAGGAAAGATACTTGTATATGGTATTCTGTGGACTCACAGAGATTCTTTGGAGCTTTTGCAGGAGAAAGAACCCACATAGAGTCTGATGTCCAAGCTTCTGGATTTGAGGACGGTGAAACAAATAGAGAGAGAATCCAGCCTTTTGGTCAAGCAGTGGATGCCGAAATATTGACTGATGGTTCTGGCAAGGTGGCTATTGGTGTTCAATTTACTGAAGGAGGTGATCAAGAAGCTGTGGACGATTTAAAGCAAACATCACCAAGGTTTTAGTTATACTGCTGAGGCCTGGTTCAATTTTTTTTTTCCTTGTAGTTGGAAGTTGGGTCTTATGCTGCTTTTCGATGTCTCTTACTGGACGTTCTTTTGCGTATAGTTTAAGTAGAACGAAGTTTGATGGTATCTAGTCTTTTCAGGTTGGAAGTTCTCAAGACAAGGGAAAGAAGTTCATCCCCTGGTGCTGATTCTAGGGGTGGAAGCAAAAGATTAGCAATGAGATGTGAGTTTTTTTCCAGGGGTTGGTGCATCAAAGGGAACTCTTGTAGATTTCTTCACATAAAGGATCATGTAACGAGCCATGATAAGGATGTCATTCTAAATGAGGCTATGATAAAAGGCAAACTTGCAAATGGCAAAGGTAATCCTGAATCTTAGTCGTTTTATAATAATGTGTTACCATGCTTTAATTTGATATGGCAGCGCCTTGCATAACTAATCAGGATGAGGTGCGTTATTCCCTATAGGTTTGGAAGAGAATGGCAAGAGATCAGTGCTGGATGGTTCTTCTGATTCAGTACCATCAGCAGTTCAATCTGGAGAAAATATAAAATTGAGAAGTGACGAGGAATCGCATATGCTTATGGATGGTCCTTCGTCCATCCCAGAGGTTAGAAGAGAGTCTCTTGGATGTAAACCATACTTGGCTGGTTATAGCACCTCTTCTTCTCCATTACTCAAAGATGGTTCTGTACATAAAAATAGCCTCCATGGTGGAAAGCGTAGCTCAGTCCTGTTATCTGATAGTTACCAAAATACTGTAGTTTCCTCTTACGCCTCAGGTTTGAACAATGTGAATTATAAGAGGAGCCAGTCTATGCACGACAATCATGGTTTGCAAGTCTTGAATGACTCTGCAGATAGGTTGTCTCATCGTTGTTCGTCTTCGCGGAACATAGATGGCCTTGATGATCAGAAGCTTTTGGATAGTAGCCAAGAATATTCTTCTTCTAAATCCACCTCTTTGCAGCAGAAGTCTTCGGCTTTTCCTAGTTCTGAAGCTGAACTTCCTCGGGTTGATTTATCACGGGACACACGACGATCATCTGATTATATAACTAAGGTGTCTGACAATTGGGAGCCATCTGTTCCTTTTCGACCATCATCCTTTCTTAGTCAAATCATTGGATGTCCTGAAAGTCTATATGATCCTCTTCGTGATAGTATTGAGCAAAGTAATGTAGGAGATGGGCCCTCAAAGTTCTCTTCCTCTGGTAAAGGAGGGCCTGTATTCACCAAATGCACACAGGAAAATGATGATCCAGTTTCACCAGGAACCTTGGGTCCAGAACAGAGCTCCAATAAACATCCAATTTCTGGTCATGTCTACCATAGGGATATATTGCCTGACAACTTGTCTGAGAAAGAATTGTCTAATAATGAAGCAGATACAGCAGATACGGCAGTTTCTCATCAGGAACACATAAATACCTCTTCAAAAGCAGAAAAACTAAATTTATCTACTGAACTACAACGCACCAGGCTCCGGAAAAAGACAAAATCAGAATTTGAGAGGCTCGGACATGGAAATGAAATTGATATTGACTGGAAAACAGATAGATCTGTGAACAAAGAGTCGAGAGTTTTGAAGCATTTTCATGCTGCTCTTGTGGAATTTATTAAAGAACTACTAAAGCCAACTTGGAGTGAGGGTCTCATGAGTAAGGATGCTTACAAGATAATAGTCAAGAAGACAGTTGATAAAGTTGTCAACTCTTTGCATCCCCATCAGGTTCCTGGTACGGCTGAATCAATCAGACAGTATCTTTCTGTATCTCAGCCAAAACTTGCTAAGCTCATTGAGGTGAGTCATGCTTCGAAAATATTACTGATGATGTAGAGAGTACAGTCTGTGAAGTCTATTCGTCCCTAAATTTGACAAGTAATTTGCTTTTGCAGGCGTACGTGGATAAATATGGAAAATCTTGAAAATATCAAATGAGCTTTGCTCAGAATAAGGGGTACGTGGATATATATGGAAAATCTTGAAATTATTAAATGAGTTCTTCTCAGCATATTGCCAACAATAGCAAACTGGTGAAACACATTTTTGTGAGCCTAATTTGCTACTTCTAGGGGTTAGAATGAGGACTTGGAAAACATTAATTTTTTGTATGTATTTTGTCTTTTTGGGTAGGAACCTTTCTGCTACCTTTATGGGCTGAAGAATTTTTCCCTTGTGTTTACTGAGTTATAGTTTCAGCAGAATTTGCAAATATGTGCACTTGTGTCCTTAAGCGAAGTCAGCTATCGTAATAAGGGCTCATTGGGTTTATAGCAATGGCAGTTTCTAAATAGGGTCTTGCTGGTTCAGGTTGTTAGAGGATTTTGTATTAGTTTAGAATGTTAAAATTGTTAAGGTATTGAGCTAGATATTGTCCCACGTTGGATAAATATGATAAATGTATGTATTAGTCTCCTATAATTAGGTGGTGTTATATATTGATCAAATTAATATCCTCTCTTATCTTATTCTCTGATCACATAGGCTTCAAATTTCAATAACTTCTTTCTTCATCCTTCTGTTACACAAGGGTATCATGATCTATTCCATTGGCATAAGGCTTTTACTTTGAGATGGTTTCAACCTAATAAAATAGACTTAAATATGTTAAACACACTTACCTTTTGCGTGTGGTGCTAATCAATTTTCACATATAGGATGTTATGAGAAGCTCTAAGTAGCTCTCTGATGGTGAATTGGGACAGTGAAATGGTTATTTGAATTTGGTTGTACAAATAAATCGGTAATATCTTTGCGTAGAGGGCATAATTTGAAGGGAGAAAACAACATGTTTTCATAATTTAGAATAGCTGTCTCTTCAACTTGTATTTTTGGTGTAATAGAAGTATTATTGTAAATATGGAGCAATACTTGGACATTTTAGAGGAGTTGGGAGATTTGTAGTTGCTATGATAGTGGTAACTCGTACCATCTTGGTACCTGTAGACACTGAAATTTTAACAGATAAAGATAAGTCCTACAACTCTTGAAATATTAGGAGTCTATTTAGGGTTACTTGGTGGCTACTTCACCCAAACCCTAATTTATGCCTATAAATAAGGCTACATGTATCTAAAGACGATCTCGAAATTCCATAAAAAATCATGGAATATTCACAAAGAGATCAAAGACATCAAATATTGTCTTCTCAAAGCCGCCGAAGTGATCAACGAATGTTCTTCATTTTCATTGAGATCAAATACATCTCAGGAAGGTCAGCATCATCCTACATTCGATAAATACGCCGCTAAGGCCCTCGAATCACGTAGAATAAATTGGAGGGAAGAATCAAGGGATAAACAGAGTTGTAACCTGCAATGTTTATCAATAAAATCCTTTTTTCTTTATAGTTGTTTGTGATTGTGTTTTATTTTTCTCTGCATAAATTTGTTGCAAACAGTGCCTTTTTCAATAAAATCTTACCTTAAAAAAATTGACATTTTTTTGTATGTTAGTATTACCAAAGGCTAAAAGCGAAAAAATAGCCACTGTAATTTGTTGCCTTGTTGGAGCCCAAATAGTGCTCAATCTTCAAGGCTTAAAGGAGCCTCTGCTGAGCTATGATAACATCCATGGTTGATATTGAGTCTGAAGTGTTTTGACATTTTGGCTTTAGGTATTTGTATGCATAAGTATGTAGATGCAAATTGACGGATCCTTTAGCAATTGGCTAGGTGTTCTTACATGGTCGAGTGGGAATTATCTGTGATTCAGTGCCAAAAGGGAATAAGGAGAAACGTCGGGGGGGGGGGGGTGGGGAATGAGAAAGGGTAGAAAGAGAGACAAAAAGGAGAAAGGAGAGCGAGGAATACGTGGGGAAATAGACAAATAAAAAGATAGAGACTGAGAAATTGAGAGAAAAAGAACAAGAGAGAAATGGAGAGATATTAATTTTTTCAAATATTATCCATCAAGTCAAGTGTGCAAGAAATGGGAAGTTTGTGCAGAAACCCACAGTGTTGCTGTTTGGAAGTTCATCGGTATGTACTTGGAAGAATTTCAAAAACATATAAAATTGGAAGTGGGGAATGGGAGGTTTATTAAATTTTGGTCTGATAGGTGGCAGGACTTTGGGATTTTGAAAGAAATGCTCCTTGAGTTTTATAGTATAGCCCTAAATAAAGATACATTGATTGCAGAGTATTTTACAAATTCAGCGGCAATTACACTTCAGAGGAAACCTTAACGACTGTAAAATTGATAGTATCAGTGGACTCTTAGCTCTACTAAAACGAATATCAACTGACAAAGGCAGGAGTGGCTCACAGGTGTGGTCGGTCAGCAGCAATGTTGTCTTCACAATTAAAAGGTGTTACAATTTGCTGCAGAAAGAAGCAGATAGATGGGTGAATGATTGGCCATGGAAGATGCTTTGGGAAACAAAAGCCCCCCTAAAACAGCTTGCTTTGGTTGGACAACTGCAATGGAAGTTTGTTTGACTCAAGATCTGTTACAAAAAAGAGGGTTCTCTCTCGGAAATAGATGTTTTTTTATGTGAAGAATCCATGCAATCTAACATTTTTATTTTTTGGCATTCTAACTTGTCTTGGAAAATTTGGTTCTTCAGTATTTTTGAGTGTGTTGGGAGATGCCTCAAGATGTGAACGGCTTGTTAACTTGCTGGCAGAAGCAGAATAAAAAGACTAAAGAAGTTTGAAATCAACTTGGAGGACCATTCCACTTTGCATCATGTGGACTATTTGGCTAGAAAGGAACAATAGATATTTTGAGGGATAAACCAGACATATCTCTTATGTGAAGTATATCTGTATACAGAACTTAGACTTGTGGTATAGGGCTAAATACGCAGGAAAATCCGTCTTTTCGTTTGGAATGTTTGGAAGCCTTGATACTGTAATTGTTGAATATCGTCTTGTTGGATCTTTTGTACTTGTGTAGTATCTCCTTGGTCCTATTCATTAACTAAATTACCTTATTAAAAAAAGCATATAGCAAACAAAGTATGTAAGGATCCTATCCGTAGAACACTAATATATATAAAAGCAAAAAGGGTCAAATTGCCCCTCTACTATACGAGAAGGATCAAGTTTACTCTCCATTATACTTTTAGTACTAAAAACTCCCGTTGTTGGCCAAGTGGCTCAAACATACCCCTTCTCCTTGGGGCTGTCCAAGGTGGATACCCAATCTCACGTGTCACTGTCATTGTACTGAGGTTGACACCACGTGGCTTGCCACCTCACTGCCCCAACGCGGTTACCCCCTCCCCCCACTTCCTCTTCCACCAATAGCACCTCTCCCTCTCCACCACAATTTCCACCATTAACAACCAGCATGCATATTCTTTCAAAATAAGAAGGTAACGGTAAAAAAGAACAAATAAGAATACCAGTCTTCTCTATCTTCTGTTGTCTCTATCTTCTGCTTGTGTCTCTCTTCATCGCGTAAACAGTTAGTTGGGGTAATAGGAAACATTGAGGCTTGTGAAGTGCTCTAGTGTATCACAGTAAGTACTCTGTCTACTTCTGCTTTTCAGTGTCCTCCTGGTTTGCTGCTCCTATTCCTCATTCTTCTATGTCACCTGTGCTCTTGTTTTTCTCTTTATCTGTTTGCACATCACCTATGTTCTATTCTCTAGTCTCCTCTTGAATCTTCTGCTTCTTCATCTGTTTTATTCTATATGTGCGAATGCTCAATTTTAGAAATCTTTTCTTTCAGTTGTTAACTTTATAACAGTTACAGGATGCCCGAGACATAGAACTTACATGATGGAATCTATTGTCTAGCTGGCGATTTTGAAACTTAAGCGCTAGAATGAATGAAGCTCCTGATTGGAAATGGAAGCTGGCAAATATGCCATATGTTTAGAAGAAGTATGCTATTGACCAGAGTTTCTCTTTGGTAAACTGTGCAATTCCCTTCTTGATTGCCATTATAGCCTGAGGAAGCTAACTGTTTGTTTTTCTGCTTGTACTTTGCTTTGGTGGTAGTGATCTTGAGCATGAGGGTCTTATTTGTGCAAGATCCCAGAGCTGCCTCAATTTTGCTGTAGTTGAATGAAGCATAATTCTTTCTTCTATGAAAGCAAAGCTAAAAAGCTCTATGATTTTGATTATTCTCCTTCGCCTTTTCCCCTCTTCTCAATGTTTTTATATAGCAAAAGCAAAAACCAAGTTGCATTTTTTATAAACTGGAGTTGACCAAAACGTATCCCAAAGAAAAATGGCCTTGAGCCAAACCACAGTCTTTAATTGCAAATGAGATTTACTGTTCATATAGAAAGAGTTCATATATGAAGTTCCCTTTGGGATGAGATATGTGGCTGTTGGTAGAAAATTCCACAGATGAGTTACAAGAGCATCATGAGGCGACAATGGCTTGGTACTACTTACGTGGCTATGTGGACGCAAATCTTAAATATGATCTTAATGTGTATATCAGAGCGAAATAGTTTTTTCTTTTGATGTGTATATCCAGAGTGAAAATAGCTTCTCTAGTTGGAGTCTTGTAATTTCTCTAAAGTGCAGAGTGATGTGTTGTACGATACTAAGACCTTGAAAGATCTTTTAGCTTCTCTGGAATGCAGATGACGTGTTCAACAGCATCGATACCTTGAAAGATGGTGAGATTCTGTAGGTTGCTACAATTTAGATTGTAGCATTGTAGTAGGACCATCTTATCCTTATGGTGCAAGTTTAAGATATTTACTTTACATCAATATATGTAGTGCGTGAGGTGTCCGGAAAGAGTGAAATGGTGGCATACTTTGGATTATGGTGTTTGATACTACTTTCTGGGGTTTGATATTCTTTTGTGGATGAGTTTGGAGGTCCTTCGTGCATGTTACTCTATTATTAGCAACATAGTGTTTTTGTTGTATGAGCTCCTGAATTTCTATAGGATGTTAGATGATGTAATCTATTTTCTGGGTAAGTGAGTACTATGTGCTATCTCTGACTTCTGAGTTGGCAAATCTGAAAAGGGCGTGCACCCTTTTCCAATAATATATACTTTATTTGTTTGCTAATCTTTCTCTGCTCGCTTAATGCTTGTGGAATCAGTACAGCAGGTTGGTCTCTGAATTGGGGTGTGAAGAAACAGAGCTGTCATGTCTAACATCCTTGTTGTGCAATAAATTTTGTCCTTGTCTACCTTAGTATGCACATACAAGTGTAGGTTCACCCTCTTGGATCAAACGGTGGGTCTCTTGACGCCAGAATGTCTGCGTCGCGAAGAAATGTTAGTTTCATGAATCTGAGTTGCTACTTATGCAGGGAGTAGTTACAGTTCTTTAGTTCTGTTGTTATTCGTCGATTCTGTTTTTTGTTGCAACTCAAATGACATGGCAGCAGTTTTCTTGGTTCTAAGGGGCATAGCATTAGCATATTAGGAATTTATGTCTAGTTTTTGAGATTTTGAAGGTGGTTCTAGTGTGCTATGGTTCCAACTATTTTCAGAGTTGCTATCTTATGTTTTGAAAGAGGACGAACTTCTTGATTTGTCTTCAGAGATCTTATCATTTTGCTGCATGTTCTTCCTCCTTGCTATTTATCCTTTTACTGTCGCTTGCTGCACCTAATTTTAGTGTTAAAGCAAGTTCCGTAATTCATTGACAGGCCGTTTTTACGCGATGGTGTGATAGAGCTATGTTGGTCGGATCCTTCAGAATACTGTTGCATCCGTGTTGGATCCTTAAAAAAGGCGTAAGTTTTTAAAGATACGAGCAACATAGTCAATGAGTATAGTCATCTTTTGTTGCTCATTTTTGGTTCTGTTTCTGGCTGCTAGGGGTGTTCGTAAAAATCCGAAAACCCGAACCAAACCGAAAACTAAACCAAACCGACCAAAAAAACCGATACTTTTTGGTTTGGTTTGGTTTTGGTTTTGAAATTTAAAAACCGATCAAATTTGGTTTGGTTTTGGTTTTAATTAAAAAAATCGAACCAAACCGAATATATGAGTAGCTATTTTAAATTTATTATTACACCTATATATATGTATAATTTTATACAAATTTTTAAAATTTTTATAGTAAATATTAATCGTTTGCACTTTTACTACAGTTCTTTACCTTTACATTCTAGTTTAATTGGTAGTTTTCTTTTGTTAAGTGTAAGAATCTATTTCATGTTAAAAATAATATATTTTTAATTGAGTCCTTAAATTATTCATCATTATTTGATTCAATTGTCATCAATATATCTTGGTAAATAATAGATTTCTCAAAGGGCAATTGATTTGATAGTGTTACGTTGAAAATGTGGTCGCCGAAATGTGTTTGGTAGTGTATGTCTTATATTTAAGAAAAAACCTACAAATAGCCGAAAAAATCGAAAAACCGACATAAGGCGAATCGAGAAACACCCGACTTAATTGGTTTGATTTGGTTCTAATATTTGAAAAACCGACTTAATTGGTTTGGTTTCTTTTTAGGGAAAAACCGATCCAAACCGAACCATGAACACCCCTACTGGCTGCTCTGCCTTTCTCAGGCTGNTATATATATATATTATGTATGTTATATATAAAAATTATATAAATTTTATATATTTTTCGGCTACGAAATATAAATAATTTCTGCTGCGGGCTAAAAGTATAATACCCTGTTATTATACGATATGGGTGCTTGAGCGCCCATTACTTATGGAACCAAATAATTACTTATTTATTATAAAAACTAGGAAATTTGTACAAATTTTTTAATGGAGCACCCAGTTTTAGTAGCAATTTTGAGACGAAAATAGTTAAATTGCACAGTACAGAATTTAATGTCCTGTTACAACGAGATCAACCACTAGGGGTGGGCATAGTTTGGGCAAACCCGAAATTCAAACCGAAATCTGAATTTTTTAGATTTTTAGTTTGGATTTTCGGATTATGGATTGGATTTTGGATTTAATTTTTAAATCTTTTGGATTTCAGATTGGATGTTGGATTTGGTACTTTTGATTTTTGGATATCCGAAATCCGAAAAGTTTATACTTTATATGTAGTCCATTATCTATATGTCAATAATAATAAGTTAAATACCCTATCCATTAAAAATTATTTCATATATGCAATATTAATTACTAAGTTACTGTCAGAATACTTTCTATTTGGACATGGTTTTACTATTACTACTTCTTATCGGCCGTATTAATGTCTCTGTTGCATTTTCTTGATAGTAATTTCATTACTTGAATGCTTTATTTGGATGATTGCGATGAGAATGAGTAACTTTTCAGGCAATTTAATATGAGTACTTCATTTGGATATTCATTTTTGTAAAAAGAAGAAACATGTCAACTTATAAGCTCAAAACCGAAAATCCAAAATATCCAACACGATTAATCCGAAACCAAACTCAAAAAATCCGATCCAATCCGAGCTTATTTGGATTGGATTTGGATTGTCATTTCTTCAATCCGAAAATCAAAAATCCAAACCGAAATTCTATATTTAATCCAAACAGCCCGAACGCCCACCCCTAGTATTATACATGTCAAGTAAAAGTGAACGGAGTGAGTATGTAAATATACATCTACATCTCTTTTTTTGCTTAGAACATTTTTAATTGCGCTACACTCATTCGCTGCTCGTAAGGTACATCAACCACTTGGTGCATCTTATTAAGTTCTTACATTTAAAACTTGAAGCCTCCAGTGGGAAAAATTTGTGAAATTTCGTCGTTATTGCTTTATAACGAATAGAGGCAACACCATAAACTATAAGAAAAAGAGCAGAAAAAATGTTTGAAGAACAATCAACTGACTTAACTATTTGGTCTTATTTCTTGAACTTAATCTAGTCACTATCTCAGGTAAGGATTTCTGTGGTAGGATTTCGATTGATTAAGAGTCAATTTGAACTCGGTTCGGCTTAAGATCGATTATATATAGAGCTGTCAATATGGATCGGACTGGGTTAGCCCAGCCCATGTGGGCTTTAGCAATTGACGGGTTGGGCTAGCCCACCATTTTGATGGGCCTTATAATGGTCAGCCCATCCCAGCCCTATGTAGGTAGCGGGCCCCCACGGGCTAGCCCATCATTTTTAAAAATATAATTTTATATATTTTTTTTAAGTTCTAACTTAAAAAAAGATAAATATTTAAAAGTTAAAAAATATCTTATTGGAAAAATTTCGCAAAACTTAATAACTTTTTATACTGTTCCAATATATCATAATAAACATTAAAAAAGTAAAAGACAAGACTATATTTCATTCACTAAAAGTCAAAACTCAAAACAAACTATTCAAGAAAACGTCAATGACGCTTATGGGATATCTAACACATCATCTTCATCAAACACATTTGAATCCGCTCGTGACAAGGTTGTCTTAACATCTTCACTTTCATCTACATCTACAATTCATATGCAATATTAATTAGTTAAATATTAATAATAATAAAATTTTAAAAATTAATAATATTCAAAACCACATAAAAAATATTACCAGTTTGAATTTGGAAAAATCCGTGCAGCCAATTTCGAGTAGTAATAAGTGTTTGGACATTTTCATGATGGATGCAACTTCTGTACTTTGTTCGAACACACCCACTGATGCTAAATGTTGATTCCGATGCTACAGTAGTAATAGGAATACTAAGTACATCACCCCCCTCCCCCCATCAATGAAAGATCTGAGATATTTTTTAGAATGGTTCTTCCAATACATGACAACATCTATCT